GGCCTAGCAATGATTATGAAGCAGCTTTTTTAAACACAAAAATAAGGTATAGAGCTGCAAAAAGAAATGAGAATTTTGAAAGTTGGTAAATAAAATCAAAAATAAACAATTGTGCTAGTAATTAATTTAAGTTGATAATCTTAAACTTACTGGCTGCCTCCCACTCTGCTGCACTTAGGGTCCCCATCTTCTGTGAGGTAGGATTCTTCTTCAAAGCAGCTTCAGCATGTTCATACTGGGACAATGGGCCCATCAAGGTTTGGTCAGGAAATGGTGGGTATGTCTAAAATCAAAGGCAATATTAGAAACTCACAAAACAGTCATCATACATGTAGAAAACAAAATTGAAACCACGAAATATTGTCATACTTCCAAAGCCTGCATTTTGCCAAGGAGTCCTCGCCCATTTTCTTTCATTCGGTCAAAAAAAGATTGAAAAGGTTCACAAACTACAAAATCTAAACCAAATCTTGATGCTAATCTGAAAGATGTCCAGAAGTATTCAGTAATTTTATATTTTACATATTTCTGCATGCTATGGACATTGAGGCACTGGACGTCCATACCTTATGAAAGTTGGGAAATGTACCAAGAATTCTGGACAGTCTACAACCCCTTCCATATGGAAGTTGTATTTTGCTCCAAAGATTGGTGGAGGCTGTTCTTCATCTAAAGGAGTCTCAAATTCCACAGAATACACATCATTGCCAAATTGTCTGCCTCCAGCTTTACGGGCTCTTGACCTAAGCAAAAACAATGGAAAGAAGACAGTTAAATGCTCAATTTGACAAATTTGTTGCCTTCAAATGAAAGGAAGACAGTTAAATGCTCCATTTGACAAATTTGTTGCCTTCAAATCGTTTTGATAAACTTAACTCACACTATAGCATTTGCATTGGGGCAGGTACCAAAGAAATAACCACCTGGTCTTAAACATTCTGCGGCGTTACGCATCATACATTCCGCTTGAGGTAAGCTTTCAAAGCAATAGTGAAATGCAAATTGGCAACTCACCAGATCCAATTGCATTGTCACATCACTGTACCGTTCGCGCAGGCGCTCCTGAACAAAAAAGAAAAATTAAATAGGACGGCCAAGCAGCCCAACTGTGAAAAAAAAAGGAACAAAAAAGAATTAGAGATGCAGCTTTAAATTTACCTTGGTGCAGTTAGCTACAATAAACTCTGCTGAAAATATTGGTGCAAAATTTCTCTCTCGTTGTGCCCGCTGTTTCACATCATTGTAGCGCTCCTTGCATTGTTCAACTGATGTAGCAGCAATATCAGTACACACAAGATGTGTTATCTTTCCTTGACGCCACTTAAACAAATCACCTCCTTTCCCACAGCCCATGTCCAGAACTTTAAGACTTGACCCTCTGGGCTTTGTTTCCCGGACCTTTTGTACAAACTCATCTAGGGACAAAGAAGTGTGTCAGGACCATTGGATAACATAAATTAATATTTTTCAAAATTTCTACAATGTGTGATGTTACCTATCAACATGCTTTTGATCCAATTGTTGAAATTTCGAAGATGTAAAATACGGCTCCTGCTACGCTCATCCAGTCCAGACTCAGGTACATTGTTATAATGTGCAGCAACTACATCACACAACGTTTCTTTTGAAGGGGGTGTTGAATTGGATGTTGATGCTTCGGCAGAGATTTCATTCTTTACATTCTTCCCTTTCAGATCTGATTCTGCTTCAGAATCTTGATAGAATTTAGGTTTTTCATATTGTCTAGAGTCACTACTAACATCTTCATGGAGATTTTGCTTGGTTACATGCTGGCCATCTTTGGGTATGTCAGACTCGTAATTTTTGAGATTTGAAGCCTCTTCGTCACTTTCTTGCTTTATTCGATGATATTGATCATCTTCAGGTACATCCGATCCAAACCTAGGGTTGTGATCCGGACTCTCTTCATCGCTCTCCTTCCGCTGTAATTTTAGCAACGACAAAAATGATGAGACACTGATAAATCACTCCAAAAGTTACCAATATCTCTAGTTGGAATTTTAGACTGCGGTACCTGTTTCTTGTGGGTCTGATAGTCTTCTGAATCCTCATCGTGAGGAAGGATTGAATTGACTGCTAGTCGGGCTCGTTCCTCATCGACGACGAAGTCGCGGCTGCGTTTGGCCATCGATGTGTCTTCAACCGGCTGGTGGCTTAGAGGCCAGGTGTCCTGTCAAAATAATCGACTTAACCTAAGTTAATCTGAAAACTCATAAACGGAGAGAGGAATTTAAACGTCTTGAGGGGCAAAGGATTGCGACTCCGATTACTTCATGTGTTTTTCAAAAAGAAAAGAGAAGAAGAGCTCACTGCTAACTTTTGTAAAAAGGTTCCGTCTGTTTCGTCGAATTAAGTCAAGAATTAGTAAAAGAGTAAGACCGGCTGTGGTGGCAATGACCGCCACCGTTCTCATACCTACCTCACCCTCACCTCACCTCACCC